ACACCAAGTTTGATTAAAATATCTCAATCTTAACTCTAGCTTTTGACGGGGAACCATTTTTTCTATTTTTAGAAATGGTGACTTTGACCACAGGGGTCCAAATGTAATACCAACTGGGGTCTCCACATAAGGTTGACTCCAATCCCTCATTCCAAACTCTAGTTTTTGTCTGGAAAACATGATTCGGACCAACCGAAGGAGCGATCGACAAGCTGACTCCTATTATATATCCCCCTAGGGGTAAAAACATTACATTGCATTTATCAGTGTAGTGCAATGTACAGCTTATATCACCAATTCATCACCAAATACATTTCCAAAAAGGGGAATAACTTTGTGAACAGATAATCGCTTGAGTTAAAATTCTCCATGAAAATAATGGACATGTTTGTCCAGATTAAAATTTGGACATGTCCATTTAAGAGATTAAAGCTGCGTGCCTCTGGATGAGCCAAAATATTCAAAAAACTAGAAAAGTGTCCATAGGACACGGGTGCCCCCACCCCGCCACTGTTCTGTCAATCTTATGACTCTAGGTCAAATATTTTTTGAAAACTAAAATCAAGAACTTTACAACCACAAGCAAACCCCAAGGTGCATAAGTGCACATGCTGACCAACATTCTTGTAATCTTTCAGGCCTACAAGTGAAATACTTTTTGAGCTTTGCATGAACAAGTTGAAAATTGCAAATTTATACTACTGTAAGTCAAGGGCAATAACTCTAACAAAACTGAAAAAAAATCCACATGCAAAGTCCCAGGTGCATAGCTTCACATTGATGTGAATCATTATTCCTGTAATTTAGTGATGTTGATCATTATTCCTGTAAAGTTGGTTGATTCTAACTCAAGCACTCAAGGAACAAATAACAACATAATGAAACGATTTTTACTTAGTCAAGGGAAATAACTCTACAAATACTGGATTAATCCACAAGCGAAACCCCAGGTGCAAAACTAAATATGCTGAGCAACCTTCCCGTAAGGTTTCATGACTTTATCAAATCCTTTTTGAGTAACATGCAACACAAGTTGAAAATTGCAAAAGTTTTCTAAGTCAAGGGCAATAACTCTAAAAATACTAAATTAATCCAATCGAAAATACCCAGGTGCACAACTACACATGCTGAGCAATATTCCTGTAAAGTTTCATGACTCTATGTCAAAGCATTTTTGAGTTACATGCGACACAAACTGAAAATTGTTAAACTTTGACTAAGTCAAGGGCAATAACTAAAAGTATAAAGAAAATCCCGACGAAAATACCCAGGTGCACAACTACACATGCTGATCAACATTCCTGTAATGTTTCATGACTCTAGGTCAAATACTGTTTGAGTTACATGCGACACAAGTTAAGAATTGCAAATTTTACTAAGTCAATGAAATTAACTCTAAAAATACTAAATAAATCCAGACGAAAATACCCAGGTGCACAACTACACATGCTGATCAACATTCCTGTAAAGTTTCATGACTCTAGGTCAAATACTTTTTGAGTTACGACACAAGTTGAAAATTGCAAAAATTTACTTAGTCAACGGCAATAACTCTAAAAATGCAAAAAATATCAAGACGAAAATACCCAGGTGCACAACGACACATGCTGATCAACATTCCTGTAAAGTTTCATTACTCTAGGTCAAATACTTTTTGAGTTACGTGCGACACAAAATAGAACGGACGGAAGGACGGATGGACAAGGGTAAATCTAAATGCCCGCCACTAAATTTGAAAAAAATGGAAAAAACATAGTAAGATTTTAAGAAAAGTAAAAAGATTTAAGATTCAAGCGATAATTTATATCTTATGTGCAATTTATGACTGATTTTTACAGTATTTATCACCATATTTCTACTGTGTTACTAACACAGTTAAGGGGCTATTTTTGCATATTTTGACCTCTTTTTGGTATTTTACGCGGATTATAAGAGCTGTTTTGCAATGTGTCAATTACTTTCCTTGTTCACTTCACAATATTTTACTTAAAACATACATTTTTAAAATTTTCATGAAATTAGAATGAATCTGAATGCGTACTGCATTAAATGTGATAACGTTAATACAAAGTTTTACACCACTAACAACAGCAGGTTTAATACGATAGCTTCCCTTTTCTCCCATATAAGTGTGCTCAAAGGCATAACTCAAGACACGTTCCTCGCATACCTATTCTATGTTTAGGTTTAAATATTCTTTTAAGTCCTCAGAATCATGAATGACTGCTACACATTCTTTGACCTCCTGGTCTGGACTGGTGCTGGTCGGTTCATCTCATCCTCTTTAGGTACACTGAAACACAAAATGATTTTTTCTTATAGTTTGTCCTAAAAAGTATTATGTTGTTTATTGGCACTATACATCTTTATTGTTTATTCTTTAAGTTTATTGTTATTACTAAGTAGTTTATTATGATGTAAGATTAAATTTGAACAGTAAAAGCAAGTTTAATTGCCTCTACAGAAAGCAGGGTGATGAAAGGTTGTCTTGTCTAAACATCAGCATAATCTTATTTTGTAAATATTTCATTATGCTCTGCTAAATTTGAACTTTGGCTGTCAATTGGAAGTGTAAGGTCACATTAAAATTTGTAGGATTAACTGTTAAGGGAAGACTTCCATGCAATATTATTTAAGGCACTAGCACACCCAGTGGAACCACAGATCTATCATAAGCAAGCTAGCTCACATGTAATACTCTAAAGCCTCTGGCAGGATTTGAACCCACAGCAGTAAAAAGTCAGCAACTGTAACTACACAGCCTAAGAGGCTCCCACTCAACTATATAGAGCCTGGTCAGTCTGCATGGATGTATAGGCTAGCTACACTCTATACTGTTGGTATAGACAAATTCAATCTCCTATGCAGTGATCTCCCCTTATCAGTACAGAGATCTCTGACATCACACACATTTTGATCAATATTTTGATATTATATATTTTTTAGCTTTTGAATTTATTTTTCATTATTTTGTATACTTTTGATAATTTTTTGATGAATATAACGAATGTATGTAAGAAAAGTTAAAAATAAAACAGAAAGAGAAAAATGACGTTAGCTTTTCTATGTAACGGTCGAATCATTTACATTTGAGTTTTGTCATTACGTCATCAAGCGAAGGCAGTGATTACAATCTGCCAAGGGATGTAATGACTATGAGGAGTTTGAGAAAACGTTATAACATCAACTAACACTCAAAAAATTAACCCTTAACCTGCTGAAATTCTTAAATGGACATGTCCAACTTCAGTAGTTGGAGCTGCCCATTACCAACTTTATGGATACCACGATGATAATTTGAAGTAGGTCATCCAACAATTTAAAACCTTGTCAGATGCACCTATGTGAAGCTGTCCTGGACATATACCAGTGGCAAAGGCTTATTACTTTTGTTCCAGCAGATTCAGGTTTAACTTTATTACCTGGCTTGTCCACTTGACTGCGTTGGAGGTCTTTCAGTTAGAAAACTTGTTCTACAATGACTACTGTAAATATAATAACACAACACTGGTATATAAGGTCTTTAAAACTCAATCAAATCGGTGGATCAAAGATCAGGTCCAGGTTTCCCAATCTGAGAAAGTTGGTAATCTAGTGGGCTATGGTTGAGGGGGGTCATTATTCATTCCCTGTTTTGTCCCAGAAATGTTAGAGCGCTGTGTCACAGCAATTACTTCTCTTCAGGCAAACTTTGTTCTAATATTTGAAAGTAAGTTTTCATAAAGCATCTTGCATGAATAAGTACTGTTCAGGTACTGAGATTAATTTTTCTAATTGCTTGTTTGTTTAAAAGTTTGGTCTTACCAAATCAAAAATGTTTTAATGAAACAATATACTTGTTATTAACACAATAGGTTATTCATATAACAAAAGAATGTTACAAAATATGACAAAGAAATGTGTAATCAGGTTCTTTATCAAACTTTAACAATGTATATTTCAAACCATTATATAAATGATAAAGCCATTGAACAACTGAATAGAACAATTACAATAATATCATATTCTTAACATGTACCTGCTTAATTAATGATATCACAAAAACAATATAATATTCAAAAAATCATATTTTTGCAAATATTTATGCACTTTTTGACATTCCCAATTTTTGTGACGAATAAATATATCCACTGATACAATATGTATTTCATATACACAAATACATCATATTAGGATTGACAGTTATCAATATAATCAGTAAATTAAAATTAAAATCTATATACTTCAGAACTGCAAGGCCTACATCTTTGATACTTGGCATGAAGGGTTACAGAGTGAACCTGTGCCAAGAATGTTTAACCAATTGGCCCCATCCCTAATGCACAGTTTCATGTACAGGTCTTGTAATGAAAACTTCTGCGGAACAATGTGCCATTAGCTGTTTGGTATCTTGCATGACACATTCTCTAGATAACCTTTAACAAATTTGGTTAAGGCATACCCATTATATCAGGGTCGCAATGGCCAAGCCCTTGGGGGCAATAAGTTAAACTGTTTACAAACTTTGTTGATATTTAAGTCATAACGCAAATATGTTGATGCATGATACACTTGAACAGTGTTCATCATTTGACATGCTGATATTTGACCTTCAACTCAACTTGATCTTAACTATCAATGTCAGACGTAAATATATTTTAACCTTCATGACATCATCATAGTTTAAGCTATTGTTTGGAAATGATGTACATTTTGTGCTAAACTTTGTACCTTAAACTTTATCAAACTGTAAGATGATGTGGCCTTTGTATCAATATTTTATCTGATCAAGAAATCAATTGTAATATGAGATGTACATAGCAAGTTTATATGATCAATATTCATAAAAAATAAGGTTATTATTACATGAGCAGTTTAGGAAACATTTGAAAAGTAAAGACTTGGACAGAATATGTGACAGTAAATTATCGTGTTGAAAATTGATTATGATACAAGACAAGGCCTGTCATGTATGTGAACAGATCAACTAACTAAATAGCTTGAACAAGTATATCTATAAGATGGCTACAGATGGACAAATAAATACGGATATTCTTTCTGATGAATTTTTTGATGAACTATGTACAATCTGCAAAAGTAAAAGCAAAAACACCGAAGGTGTAAAATTCTGTTTGGATTGCCAAGATTATTTCTGTATAATATGTGTCCAAGTTCACAGTCAAGTGCCAGTGTGTGCTGGTCACAAGATGTTGGATAAATCTTTAGTTACATCAGGAATCATTAAAGGTCTCCCAAAGGCACCGGAAGAGCCTGTATGTGCTGGTAACAAGGTGTTGGATAAATCTCAGGTTGAGTCAGGAATAAGCAAAAGTCTGCCAAAGGCACCAACAGAGATGTGTGACAGACACAGTCATAAACTCATTGATATGTACTGCCAGAATCACGATAGTGTTGGCTGTTCTACATGTATGGCTGATAATCATAGGTGAATTTTAACAATTTATCAGTAACTTTATGGTTAGTTTTAAAAATTCTAAACATAACAAATATGTTAAAGAAAACAAGATCTATCACTAAGGGAGATTTAGTGGTCTGAAGCCAAATTTAAATTCGAGCTGTATTTTATGATGTTTCATAAGTGTAACAAAAATACCGTAACTATAATTTACTGCCATGTAAAAGAGATTCACCTGAATACAAAAAGCTATTCAAAGTGAATTCTCAACATAAACTTGCTGTATACTAAGTTTCATTACAATATCTCCTTCCTTACTCTAGAAATTGACAAGAAACCATTTTTTATTTTTTAATAACAGTGGCATTGACCCTAGGGTTCCAAAAGCAATCTTAACGTAAGCAAAGTCACCACAAAGCTTGCCAGACATTTAGTTTGATAACATTATCTAACTCCTTATCAAATTATCATCAGAAAACCATTTTTCTATTTCTAGTAACAGTGATCTTGACCTTGACCTAAGGGGGGATGGGGAGTCAAAAGCAACCCAAAGTGACATCTCTACAGAGCCTTGCTTCTTGCCAAGTTTGATCACAGTATCTTATTCTTAGGTCTAGAAATCATTTTTTCTTCTTTTTTTGTAAAAGTGACCTGGATAATAGGGGGTCCAAAGGCAATCTGAAACAAGTTGTCCATATACGTTTGTTATCTGTGAAGTTTGTATCAATATCTTATTTGTAACTCTAGTAAGTGCCATGAAACCATGACACTCACCAACAAACTAACTGATGACCTTACTTATATATAACCTCCTTATCGTTCTTTGTGGGAGAAAAAATAAAATGATGAACATTTTGAATATCTTTTAGGTCATGCCAGGAAATTTGCTACATTCCAGAATATATTCAAAATAACACTTACCAAGCAGCCACAACAGATATTCAAACAAAATTAAAGGAAATATCCAAAAGCCTGGCAGAACAAGTTACCAGATTCAAACAAGATAAACAAAGACTTCTGAAAAGAAAGGAAGAGTTACTGGCAGATATCAGAAAATTTCGACAAGAAATTAACAACCAACTTGACAAGTTGGAGAACAATTCTATAGGTAACATAGAAGATATGGTTAAACACCTTGAAGACAAGATTGAAAACAATCTCAAAAACCTACAAGCTCATATGGCCAGGGTTACTTCAGCTAATGATAAATTAGCATCCCAGAACACAAGTCAAGCTGAAGTATTTATTTTTGTGAAGATTGGGGAAGATACTGCAAATGCTGCCAACAAATGTATAGAAGATAACAAAACCAAGCGTACTAGAGATGTCATAAAGTTACAACCTGAAAAACGAATTCTTACATTGCTACAACAATATAAAGCCCTTGGAAAACTTGGTAAAAAAGGAAACCCTGCAAAGACTCCTAGTACTTTATTTAAGATAAAAGGGAAACAATCATATTGTGTTACAGCAACGTCTTATGAAGAAGACAATTATTCCAGAAGTGCATGCTGTTTGAAGGATGGTACAGTAATATTAGCTGATAGAAAAAACAAGAAGCTAAAACGGTTCCACAGTAACAACAACACTATCATAGACTACTGTGATCTACCAGCAGCACCATGGCAAGTGTGTTCAATCAACACAACACAAGTAGCAGTAACTTTACCATTACAGAAAGAAGTTCATTTCATTTCTGTTGAAGGCCAAATGAGCACAACAAACAAGATCAATACTGATTTTTCTTGTAGTGGTCTTGCATACACCAACAATAATTTATATGTATCAGATGATACCAAAAAAGTATATGTCTATACATTGTCTGGACGAAAGATTAAGCAGCTAAGAATTAAGCATTCATTTATCTCTCATCTCAAGAATCAACTTACTCGTACTGATCAGCTACGATGCATAAACAGTCTAGCTGTCAGTAAAGATGCTAAAAGGATTTATGTTACTGATAGGGATCGTGGGCTGATAGTACTGGACAAAAAAGGTAAGGTTATTACAAGATTCAATGGCGGAGAAATACAATGGGCCAGTTGCTGTTATGTCACTGAAGCAGGAAGTGTGCTTGTATCTGGATCTTACTCCAATAATGTTATACAGTTTACATCTGATGGTGAGCTGCTGGGAGAGGTTATAAAATCTGACAGAGGAAAATGGAATATTTCTTCTGTATGTTGTAACCAACAAATGTCTAAAATGTATGTATGCAGATCTGGAAAAAGCAACATTGAAGTGTATGATATCTGATCAGGTCAATAAATGACTGCAAACCACTTTTAGTAAAAAACTAACTGAAAGGACGTTTTAATTCAGAATCTACAAACATGAAATGTGAAAAGAACAAGACTGCATAATTTTGTGAAATGTAATATTATGCCGCCATATTGTATAGCACTATCAATAGCAGGACTAAAAGCTGTTTACCATTTGCTGTACATGTTAATGTTATGAATGAATAATTTATCTTACAATATTGAATCAATGTCCAATGAAACTGTAGGTTAATATTTCGCCAATGTCAAACAAAACACAATTATCATATATACATGTATCAATATATATTTATCATAAGTTAAAGTTTAAACCATCTAGTTTAAGTATCAACTATCAGCCTTTAATGTTGAATTATTCGTTGTATTCAGTTAATGCACAGATCATCCATACATGAATAGTATTTTATATTATTAATAATCATTATTTTTTCTCCATTTAAAGTCTTCGCTTTTCTATTGCATAGAAGTTACATACATTATGTTTCCCAACTCATCTGCCTGTTTTGTTTATTTAGCTTAAATGATGTTTATTTGATTTGTCAATATGTTGAAAGATTTCATTCAAAGTATATGCTTTGCGGAGGAATGACAAACATTACATTTCCATTAGTCAAACCGTCTGTTTTGTTTATTTTTTAAGTTTGTTTGATGTTCATTTTGAATTGTCAAAAGATAAAGAAACATTTCTTATTCATTAATCAATTTACGTGTTATAAATAATTTGTTGATAATTTTTCCAGATCATCCATACACGTATAGTATTTTATACTATGTATAATCATTTATATGATTTTATTCTTCATTTAAAGTCTGCGCTTTTCTATTGCATAGAAGTAACATACATAACGTTTCCCAGCTAATCCTCCTGTTTTGTTTATTAAGCTATAATGATGCTTTTTTTATTTGTTTATATGTTGATAAAGAAATATTTTTGTTTATTAAACGAATAAAAGGATTTGATAAAGGGACTACCCTGTGGTTTTAAATTACTCTTAAATTTGTGTGAAATGTATGTAATATGTGACTTTATCATCATTTGTATGTACATTTTGTGTATTTTGTATTATTTATTATTTAATTTAATGTTTGTGATATTGATTCCACATAATCCATATGATTGATTAAATTAGACGGTTGTTGCATAAGTGATACAAGCTATATTTTTGATGTCTGTGAATTATTATATGTTATATTTATTTATATTATGATTTAAGTGTTTACATAAATTAAGACATAGAATGAAAAACATTTATGTCAATATATTTTATTGAAAGTCAGTGCATGCATGAAATTAACCCTAAACCTACTGTAAACAGGAGTAGAATATTTTATTCTTGTACATTTTGTATAGGTTTATGTTTATTAGTAACCACTTACAAAATTAAATTGGTCATAACCAGCGCAGCCATTTGACCATTTTAATTCAGTAAATGTTTCCTAGTAAACACTATAAGTAACCAATTTACTGTTTGAAATTATTTTTTATAAACAGTTGATTTATTAGACTGATTAATAGCCGATGTACTGAAGTAAATGTGTTACAATATTCATTTTAAATGCTGTAATCCTATGGACAAGAAGAAATTAATGTACCATATTTATGCAAGTTAAGAGACAACTCTTTCAAGAAGCATTCATAACATTATGAAGACAACCTATTTTTACTTTTTTTAAATTTTCATAAAATATTTAATCAGATATAGCTATTTACTCTTTAATGTACATTTATTTGTTAAAATTAATTTATAATGATAGTATTTAGTAAGATTGATGTAAAATATATGTTATGTATTCAATATAATATTACACAATGCACAAAACAATTACTGAATTGTTATCTTTTCCAAGATATGATTAGCCCTACAGTAAATATTTTATCTATTGTTGAGTGAAACAAAGTAGAAAATAATGTTTCAATTATACAGGCCATTGCATAAAAACTAAATATGGGTCAGGATCATAATTATTAGACATGTCAAATGACTGACACGTATATAGTATTAATTCAGTCTAAATTTCAAAAAAGTAATTTCTGTTCAAAACGGCCATCAATAATTCAGTCAAAATCCATATTAGAGTGTGGGCCTTGGAAAATGACTCAAAAATCAGTGACGTTTCAACCCATTTCCCCTCAAACTAAACAAAGAATTAAAAGAAGGGTCAAAAACAGAAAAGGCCGGGTTGCATTTGTATACCAAATATCATAATCATTATGATGTGATGTTACGAAAAAATTTTGCCACTGATCATCAATGTCGAAAATTTAACTATTGGCCATCAATGTCGAAAATTTAACTAAGTCGGTAAACAGGATGTGGATGAGCAATAGACATGAAATCGAATCTCACGATATGGGACCACGTGTCAATGCTGTATGCCAAATATCAAGAGACTGTGATAAGTAGTTGCTGAGAAAACTATTAAGAAAATTTCCTACCATTGACCATTTAAATGTACAAAATTTAACTAAGTTGGTAAACAGGAAGTAGATGAGCAACATACCTAAAATTGAATCCCACAGTTTGGACCATGTGTCAATGCTGTATGCCAAATATCAAGAGGCTATGATAAGTAGTTGCTGAGAAAACTGTTACAAAAGTTTCCTACCATTGACCATAAATGTCAAAAATTTAACTTAGTCGGTTAGCAGGAAGTGGATAAGCAACAGACCTGAAATCAAATCCCACAGTATGGGACTACGTATCAATGCTGTATGCCAAATATACCAAATATCAAGAGGCTGTGATAAGTAGTTGCTGAGAAAACTGTTACGAAAAGTTTTTCCCCGCCCGCCCGCCAAAAAATGTTAAAAATGGGGCATAAATACACGAAATAAGCAAGAAAATCAAATCAGAAGACTGATGCCAATTGATACAACCTGGACGCAAAATTACACCAAAGTGTGATGTTCACGCCGACACCTAGATGTTAAATAGCTACCTCTTTTCTTCAAATAAAAAGCTAAAAGCTGACTACACATAATGTCTGTGGCTTAAGTAAATACTGACTTGCTTATACTGGTAAAATACAGCAAAGCTAACTTCATAAAAAATATCCAATCCAACTAGACTCAATATAACTAACAATTTCACTACATAGATACTCTAATCACTCCATATTACTGCTTATAAACCATCAAATTTCAAATCATATCATGTTAGTATAAGTAATAAAAATATATTTACAAGTTAATTTTTAGCTGGGCTCATATCAGCCACCTGCCGGGTGACGCCCCGAGAAATTGGAACAGTCAAAACACTGTGTCGGTTCCCAGCCATAAACTTTAAGGAAATCATTTATACCAGAGTAGAGACAGGTACCATTCGGATGGAAACATATAAATCTGAAATATCACAAAGAAAATTGTTGTGTAGATTGTCTTAGAAGATGTTTGTCAAGGCAGCATGCCTCCAGATAAGCCAAAACATTCAAATAAATCAAACTTGAGAAACATGAATAAAGATTTTTAGTAAAGTAAAAATTTACATGTTCTTTGTATTTAATGACTATTTTTGCAGAAATCATCACCATATTACTATTGCTTGACTAATACAGTAAGGGCTATTTTAGCATATTTTGACCTCTTTTTGGTAATTTACGTGAATTAGATGTGCCATTTGCAATTTGTAAATTACTTCCTTTGTTCACTTCACAGTATTTAACTTTAAAACATATTTCAAAATGTTCATGAAAATAAGCATAAATATGAAGGCATGTTACTTTAACTGTAAAGATTATTTTGATATTATTTTGGTTGCATATTAAACCACATCACCACTGTACAGGTAAAATGGCAACTTTTCAGCTTTATATGTAAAGGAAAATCTTGTGTGCTCCTCCAAGTTTTATTTCTGACAGCATGGACAGGCACCAGAGCAGAACCACCAACCTCCAAAAGGTTAGCTGGTTAGTTTCCTCACATAACATAATTTTATGTACCTCATGTTAGATGAATCTAGATTTACTTATTCATTAATTATTCAAGTTAGATTTGGAAACTAGAAGTTGATTTCATCGGACCATGAAAATTTGAATTTGACCTGCATTTTCCTATGATATATCCATTTGTCAAATTTGAGTTGAATGTGTTCATCTGTTACCAATATAATGAATGGAAACTGATGATGACGGAATGACGGTAGGATGGAAGGATGGAAGGACGGAATGACAGAACAGGGTAACGCTATATGCCCCAGACATTTTAAATATGGTGGGGCATAAAAAACTATGGCAGCATGCACCAGACTTTAATCAAAGGATTGCTAACTGTGTGGGTTTGAATCCTTTTAAGGGTAAGCCATTGTTTCCTTGAGCATGAAAAGTAATCACCTATTGCTCAGTACTCAGGTTAATTTCTTAGGAACTGATTTGAGAGATGTCTTTAAGCTAATAACTTCTTACACAATTTGGTTTAAAATAAATAACATCGCTGTTAGTTTATTTTATTTAAATCATTTCCGTCAAGTTCAAGTTCTCGAAAAACCATTACTGGTGTGTGACATATGTAGACATAATTGTGAACAGCTAAGTTTTCTAGATAGGATGATTTTCTTTCTAGATAGGATGAATTTTACATAATCTGTTCAACAACTTCTCTAGTTCAATTTACTTTTGCAACTTGAAAAATAAACAAAACATACAACTATTGAATGCATTAATTTGCTTATTTTAAATGAAATTATTCATAAATACCTGACAGGATTTGCATCTATATCTGTCGAACATATAAGTTGGAATGTTTCTAAGTCCCAAAACTTTACTGTCCTGAAAATGAATTAAACATTTATTTCTTAAATATATGACTCTATACAAATCATAGTTGATTGCATTTCATGTATTATTTGGCCAAAGAATATTTTCAAACATTCACATTTCATTCTGTAATTGACTTCATTTAAATTTTTCAACATCTTTTTTATTTGGTTGGGTTTTATATCACACCGACACAGTATATATGTCATATATAGCAACATT